CAGAATCTGGAAACCGTGAGAGCAACCGAGCAAAGAAACACTATGATTTTAGCAGGTATATGACTAAGGCACTACAAAATAGAAATAATTACTTTGGAAAGTATCCCCTTTCTTCTTGAGGTGAAGTTGATTTCATGCCTACGGAGACTCTTCCCTGTACATGTGCACCCCTGGCTCTGCATAGGGTTCAAATATTAAGGCTATCTGTATAGTTTAAGGCAAAGATTTCAATGAATTGGCATTAAAGACACCAATATGGATAATCTCATCTGCTTTAGAGTGCTATTACCAAAAACCTACGGCTGATGTGAACACGGCCAGGAGAGTCAGGATCACAACTCTTTTACATTTCTCACAACACTTTTTCTTGCTTTTAAATTTTCATGCTATGACACGATTTCTGGGTGCCTGTAGCAAAGCCTGGATCAATTGAAGGTTTCATTTCCAAGACAAGAACTCTAGATGCACACTAGTCCTTCCACATCAATACTGACTGCATCATAGACAACTAAGCTGTGTTGGGGATTTTTTTTTTTTAAGGGAGCAACCCACTTCTGTCTGCTTGTACAACTTAAAGCACTGTTCAAGAATCCTCCTCAGGCATGTATCAAATGAGGGGGGGGACGGGGGTCAATCCCCATATCTTCAGTCAGGAGATAAAACTGTGGATACTGCAACCCCATGTTCTAATAACTTTAAAAGCTTTTACAAAAAAAAACCCTCAACATTTTAAGCATTATGGACAGCTAGGTTATTGCATTCAGAGTGTGCTCTGGTACTACAAGAATACTTGAAACAAAGCAAAGCACTACACACTCCATAACAAATATATTAAAGACTTACAGGCTTTTAGAAAAAACTTTTTGCACTCTATTTCTGCCAAGGAAAGCATTTTTTCACAACAGAGCTATTTTTAATTATTCTCCCTCTATCTTTAAAAGAAAACTATAGAATAATTTTTCTGGTTTTAACTAAACATGATTTTCAAAATCATTATCATTAAGTGGGTATATAAATTTCAAATCTTAACTAGACAGTTTTTGGTTAAGTAAGAGTTTTATAAGAATATATATTAATAATTGCAGATAAGAATGACAGGCTGCAAAGTCAATGTCGCTGGACAGCCATATCCAACATGTTTCTTGCTGGAAGGTCATAATTTATTTAATTGTAACAACAAAGGATCAGCAGGCCCACAGAAGACTTATTTCTGTTGCAAGATCACTACTGTAATTTAGGTGGCAACAAACACAAATATCCATGGTCGCCTCTAAATTGTATGAAACATGAAAGAGATCATCTTCCATAATTACTACTCTCTGTATTAATGAATAAATACTAATCCTAAGTGCTGATGAAACAACATTAAGCAAAGTAATACCAGCTTTTACATTACTCAACCCAAATTACACCTCAACTTTTACTGTTTCTGCAAGTTACCTGGCATACTTAGAATGAGCACCTAATTATTACTAAGCCCTTATTCCACTTAGGCAAATGCCAGACATTACTTTGTTTCTAAACTGAAGGCTTTAAGCTTTCATATACTGATCCAGCACCAACAAATGCTCCATGCTCTGCATGGCAAACAGAAGTAATGCTGCATACAAGTGTCAAGTGAAAGCTGACAACCTTGTCCTAAGGGAAGGACACCCTCCCATCAGAATCTGAATTATAGTCCTGCATATGTGATGAACAAACCTGTAAGCAGGTACTCATCTAAGAGAAATACATGGAAGTCAAAACAAATGCACAAAAAAATTTTCACATTATAAAACCATATATTTGGTGATTTAGTTTATCACATTACTAGTGTGCAGATACAATAAACTTAAAATCCCACCCCTGGATTGAGCTCATCAGAATATGCTCAGGAAATAATAACGTACTTTTCAATTAGGATCCTGATGTTTTTTTAATATATTATAATGCTTAAGTTATTAATCATAAACATGAATAAAAGTACTTTTGGTTTATATCCCACTGGTAATTATGATTATTGGTATCTCTGAAAACCAGGGCAAGATAACTACGGAAAAAAGGAGAAATTGTGCTGTGTCAACTAGTAGAACTATTCAAAAGGTAACACAAAATTAATCCTGTTAAAACACACCATATTCAGAAAACTTGTGTATAATTCAGTATGCTTAATTCTGTAAAATCCTATGGCAATTTTTATTCTAGAGTTACCTTGGCAGATACAATGTTGGATTTGATCTAATGCCTCTTGACATCACTAGAAATAATCCTATCATTTAAATAGGCTTCTGGGTTATGGCCTTAATGGAGTTTATTATCTAGCTTCAGAACCCTCCTTAAAACTTGTTTGCTGCAATGCCTACAGAAACCGTGGTAACTACAGTGCTCATTTGCTTGCTATAGCTGGTCTCTACTATGGTGACACACAAATCTCATTTTTCTACTGCAATTCTACCACCTATTTTATCCAATTGTTGTCTTTGGCCTACTTAGGAGTTCTTTGTGTTCAGTTTTGCCACTGCTGTGAATACTCACTGCCTAGCACAATGTACGTGCACTACCACCACACTCGCATAAACCAGCACCTGGAGCAACTGGGATGTAGGGCCAGGGTTCCAGAATACTGCAACAATATACAGTAATCACTGACACTGCAATGTTGTTCTTTCATTCAGACACTTCTGCAATGAGAGTACGTGCTAGCTTCAAGGCCATGGATAAAAAATGCATGGATGAACAAGGGAAATGGTATTTTGGTGCTAATTACGTTAGCACACATTAGACTTGACTCAGATTCTGAAATGCACTTAATAGCTCCAAGTAAAACAATTGAAGGTAAATTCACTCTCCAACAACAGGAGTGTCTGAGTCACTGAGGGCCATATTCATTTTAATATCACTAACAACACACATGCACACATAGCCTGTATCAATCAAAGATATAAAAGCAGTGAGTACATAACTAACAGGTTTTGCTGTGCATAACTAATAGGTTTTGCTAGTTCTATGAAAATATCAAAAGGACTTATCCTTGTCATATAATTTTAAACTTTTTTTAAAAAAATCGGTTTTTCAGGAACAAAAGACTAAATGAAATCTTTGAATCATCAATGAAAAACAAGTACATATAGCTAAATTATAGTAGTTATATAGTACATACAATAGCTAAAGGTTCATGGCTAAGTGTTCTCACAGAACTTCCTTTAGATCACCATTAAGCATGGAAAAAATAAATGGCATACAGAAAAAATAATAAATTGAGGGAAAGAGTCAAGAAGCTCCAAATAGAATGCTTAACTTCCTTTTCAGCATGCAATTAAAGATTTGGTTATAGTAGCTCAGAAAGAGTTTAGTAGATCAACACTGTGCTGGTGGACATTTAATTGGGCAGAAATTGGTCAGCCCTCACCTCCTAACATATACCAAGGACAAACACTGGAGTTTGATGCATCCAGACCTGGTTGATGCATCATTAATGCTCCAACCATCTCAAGCAATCTATGAGTTTAACAAGCTTACCCTAAAACACATCTGTTTGTTCCAATTGTTCATTCTAGAATTCTATACTCTTGAGCATTTACAATTGTGCTGGCTTTGGCTGGGGTAGTTTTCTTCAGAAAAGGCAGTATGAGGCTACCTATGGTTTAAATTTGTGCTGAAAACAGGATTTGCTTGCACAATGTCAAGGTCTTTTCTGCATCTTGTACCACCCTGTCAGTAAGCTGGGGGTGCACAAGAAGCTGAGAGGGGACCTGGCTGGGACAGCTGGCCCCAGCTGACAAAGGGATAAACCATTCCCTATGACTTCATGCTCAGGATATAAAGTGGGTGAATGAGGAGGAAGAAGGGATGTTTGGAGTGATGGCATTTGTTTTGCCAAGTCACCATTACTCCTGCTTTCCTTGGATGGCTGCACAACAGACTGGCCAAAGAACATGGTGAATGAAATCTCTCTTTTGCTCTATTTGTGTGTGCAGATTTTGTTTCAGCTGTTAAACTGTCCTTATCTCAACCCCAAACTAAGGAGTTTTCTTGCCTAAGTGTTTTGTTCCTGGCTGGGGTTAAACCACAACAAGAATCTTCTACTTTTCAGTGTAAATCAGTTCACGGCCAACTCATATCCATTTAGGAACAGAAGCCTGCATAGTTCTTTTCTTTGTCTGCTTTTATTTTCATACTACAGTTAAAGAGCAATCATACCCCTATCAACCTTCATTTTGCTAGGCTAAACAAGCCAAGTTCTTTGAGCTTCCTCTCATAAGAGACCAATTCCTCTGAGGCAGTACACCAGCTGCTTTACAGAAGTTCAGACAGGCAAGATCTAGGATATTTTCCTTGTCGTTCTTGACATTTCATTTTTAATTGGCACATGGATTCATAACAAATATACTCATTAAGAATCCTGAAGACTTGCAGTAATTCAATAATGTAGAGAAGAAAAAGTAGTATTCCACAGAAACCTGAAATGCTTTAGAGTGTAATTATGGATTATTTGTGACAGAAACAGTATAGAACATCTATGCATTAATTATTGAAATGTGAAATATGTTAAGCATTTAGAGACACTGCCATTGCAATGTACAAAGCTGCAGTACTGACAGTATCTGACAACTGCAGAAACATATCTCTCACAAAAATGTTACTCATTAACAAATTAAAAAGAAGGTGAAATTCCAACACAAACAAGGTCAGGATTTCATCTCTATGCTATCATTAATGTTAAAAATCCCATTGGTTTCCCTTAATCAGATTTCCACATGAAAGTTTTTTATCAGGAAACTTTCTAATTTAGAGATACAAAAGACCCTGGTAGTTTCCAACATTGAAGTAAAAAACCAACTTATCCAGTTATGACACCAATAAATAACTAAAGTTTACTTCACTTGAAAACCAGGAAAAAAACCCAGATTCCTAAAAAAGTCCTCATAGCCAGGCTCTGGGTCACAAAACTAACATAAATTGAACTTGTAGCTCATGAGAAGAACAGAAAGCACAATAGGATCAACATATATATGGTACCAATTAGGTTACATTATAGAAAAATAATACCTTTCATAAATCATACCATGCATTTAAGTATCTCATCAGGCAATTATGAGTCAAGGAAGGAGGCTACAATTTAGAATTAACATAGTACATAATAAGTTAGAATATCCACTATATATGAAACCAAAAAAAAATGAGTAAACTACTTGTATCCCTTACAGCAGCTCTGCATTTCTAAACAACACTGAATGACCCTCAGTTTCATGCAGAGACTCAAAAATGTTATTTTTTGCTAACAATATGCATAATGCACACCCTAATATGACCTCTATCTGTCAAAATTGATTCCAGCATCTGTTATTTCCAAGCAAAGCAAAATGTGGTTTACGCTTTGGGCAGGGATCATTCTAACATACAAAATAATGACTCAGCATATAGGAGGGCAGGGTTCAAAGGTGAATTTGTGGATAAACTTTATATTACTACCAGAAAGGCATGAAACAACTTTGTCTGCATCAGACATCCCTTCTTAGTTAAATTGAAGACTTTCTTTTTCTCTGTGAAACATTTATCCTAGTCACCAATATTTATAACCTGACTGAAAAATACCCCCACTAATGCAATGGAATGAAGCCACCTGACTTCATAAGGTTTTGAATCTGAAACAGAATTTTAGACTATCTGACAAGGTCCTATCCTGATGTTTCCAGAATCTCAAGAAAACAATATTGCCTTTCATATAGGAAATCACATGAAGGCTCACCAGTTCTGTCATTTCCTTCATCACAACAGCATTTTGAGTGTCTGTTTGGAACCTCTGAACTTCTTCTGATCCTTTTTAGTTTATATCCTTGCAGCTACTAACATAGGAAATGCAGTTCTGCTAAGAAACAAGCTGACATTTAGTGATTGATAAGCCTTCCATAGTAAAGACCAGGAGGAATATTCCACCTGAAATCTCTGAGCAGATACATTTCCATACATCTTCACACTCCAACTAGGAAGCAAGGGCTAAGTAACTCATGGCAATGTCTTACAGGATTAAATGTCTGAACTGTAGCCCAGTCACAGGTAATTTTAACAGCAGAAATTAAACAGACACAGGCAAAGGGAAACTCATATTGAAAGAAAAAAAAATATTATTTACACCATGGTAAGTAAAATTACACTTTGAAGGCTTCTGATCAAGAAGCATTACTGTAAATAATAAAGTAACAAGGATTTATGATAAAAAGAGAAAAACAGATGGGTTGATAAGGACAGCAGTGTGAAGAACAGGTGGAACTGTTATACCCACAATCTGAGCATCCATGACACAAAATCACCAGCTTTGACACAATTTTTGGCAACATCATCCAGGTCCAACACTAATATTAAAAGCTAGTTAAAGGAAAGCTCTAATCTGAGCATGGGCTATATGAAAACAAAGTCCTTTGTCCTCTGTACATTCTTCCAATCAGCTCTGCTACCTTCATTGTTAAAGAATCCTGTTCATTTTATTGCAGAATAAACCATAAACTTGGTTCTTCTCTCTTGCATTTATCAGGAGAGCTACTTCCCAACTCCTCATCAGTGTCATCTATCTCCACAACCAGTGGAATCAATGGCTTTGTTACTCCCAAGGCAAAACTTGTCTAGAAGGCTTCTCAGCTGGTGAGGACACATGAGGAAACCAACACTACTAATCACTTTTAAAAACCCACTTACATTCAGTTTCTAAGGCAGTCTATTAATGCCTCAAAAGAGACTAGATTAGGGTGGGATTTCTTAACTTTTAGGCCAAGTACTTATAACACAAAGTACAGAACTCACATACATGGAAAATGCCAGCACAGTATATTAAGAGCACTCTTCAGGGTAGCAGTGATTTAAATAATTACCATTGGACAAAATTAACACAATAAGTACACATACCTCAAAGAAGAGACTTTAATTGAACTTTAAATTCTCCCAGTTTTAAGTCATTGTTTTTGTATGTCATTGTAATTAAAAGTTCTAATCTTAGATACTGCTTTTAAGCCTTACATTCATAAAATCATAGAATTAGTTTAGTTGGAAGGAACTTTAATGATCATCTCATTGCAACCTTCCTGCCATGGGCAGAGACACTTTCCTTTGGAGCAGGTTGCTCCAAGCCCCATCCAGCTTGGCCCTGAACATTTCCAGGGATGGGGCATCCACAGGTTCTCTGAACAACCTGTGCCAGGGCCTCACCACCCTCACAGTGAAGAACTGCTTCCTAAGCACACTTTCCTCCTTCCAGTTTAAAGGCAAGGTGGCTGAAATTCTGACAGAGCCTGGGACTCAGGAATATTCCACTTGCCTTCTCTTTAACTGCTTTGCCTTTGTGTACTGCTCAATTAAGTCTCACTACTGGCATATGATTAACCACAACTCTGGAGTTTGCCACGTAATTTTGAAGTCAAAAAACTACACAAGGCTGATTATTAAAACGCTTATCAGCTACCAAAAGCCTTAAGTCAACTGTTAAGTTTCTTCTTATAGAAGTAAAGCAGCACTTTCTTCCAAACAGAAAACTTGCAAGCACTGGGGCAACATGGGGGAAGGATGTAGGGAGAGCAAAATGATCTTCACTATCTCAAAATTCAGGTGACAAACCACTCCACTCCAAACCACATCTGATAAACATTCACATTTCTCTTCCATCAAAATGGAAGATTTAAGGACTGTCAGAAGATATGTCCTCCAGAACATATACAACTACTGGAAAAAAACATTTTTTTCACAGTCCTAGCCATGCTTTCTGTCACTGTCCTCCCTCTCTTCTAACAACTGTTTCTTTCCTAAAAACCTTACTGAAACAGGATTTGGGGTTCCCTCAGTCCTTTATTACCTGTCAAATCTACCTTTTTCAAAGACTCAATTTTTCCACCATTTCTCCTTAATGCTGCATATAGAAACTGTATCCTTGGCAGAGACCTCTGCAAAAATGGTCAACCATCAACCAAAATGAAGATGTGTGGGAGGAAAAAAATCTGTCTGCTAACAGTCTGATCAACAACTTGTTATGAGAAACAGAAAAACACCACAACTCAGGAAGTCCTTGTGCTTCCCCAGGTTTTGTAGATCTGATCATTAGCAAAAAAAATCCTGATAAGTGGTTATATCTTCATTTTCTAGTTAAGATCCACACAAAACTTGGAACTTCATTGCAGATCATAGTGGGAGTTAATTGCAAGGAAAATAAACAAGACTAACAATGTAATTCAATTACAAGGCTGCTTTTTGAAAATTTATGAGTTCTGTTACATTTCTACACATGTATTTGTTTTTATATTACAGCAGTTTTTTTCTACTTAAAGACTGATGCATAGACAAATGGGCATCTTCCCCTGCTCTGAACATCAGTATGTGGCTTCATCCAAAGGCTTTTATCAGCAAAGATTTTTTTGAGGATAACTATGCTTAGTGACAATATGAGCAACATTAATTAAATTAGCAGCACGGGAATATGGACATGCACTGAGGTGAACAGTCCCCTCTCAGTAGGAGCTTTAAGTTTCCATGTTTTCCAAAGCAAGGTCAGCTTAGTCCTCCTATAAATACAGCACTTATTTTGATGAGAAAAAAATTTAGCCAAGAAAATCCAAAATAAGTTTCAGAATTAATTTTTTTTTAATTTAGAAAAACAATTCCAACAGAAAGCATTTTCTTACTTCAGTCTTAAGCAGGGATATTTGGCACATCGTGACACTCATTTTAAGGAGCCTGGAAGCTCATTCCTGTGCAAGGAAAACAAGCTGGCACTACAGAAATGCTTCTGAAAAGCCATGTTTTTAAACTTCAGAAGTCACAGGGAGAAAGTCACAGGGCTGCCTTTTAGGAAAGAATGACCCTATGCTTACTTAGATGGCTGATGATCATTTGTCTCTCACACCCTTAAGGGTGATTCTGCTCATAACTCTCACAGATTGACTCCTGAGGTTTAATTTACTTTTGTGTCTCAAAACAGAAGGAAAAGAAACTGAAGATTTTGGGAAGTTGGGCAACAAAATGTTACAACACAAAAGAAATACAAAAATTAGTCAAGTACACTGCTGAAAGAATCTACAAATGCTAACCCAATCCTATTTGCACAGCAAGCATTTTCATAAACTGTATTTCCATCTTTCAAACATTCAGACTTCCCCTATAATACATACATTTGTCTTTGTAGATCCATATGAATTCAGAAAACCTGAACATGCCCTAGATTTAGAACTTCAGACTGCAAATGGAAGAAAGCATGTCCAAAATAACCAACATTTCATGTGCAATTCCAAAATTATTATTAGTTTTTATACCCAAGCCCAGGTAATTTCTCAAAAGAGAATAAGGACTCTCTCCATGACTGCACTGAAAGAAGGCAGAGAGCTAAAAAAGTCACTGACTTCCTAATGTTCATTGCCACATACTTTTTGTGATTAATTTAGGATGAAAACTATTTTTCCTTCACTGACAGAACTTAGTTTCCTCTTCAGAGCAGGTTTTCCTCCATACAAGCATTAAGGACAAGCTCTTGTTATTTTGTACAATTCTAACTTCAAATGTTTATTCAGGCAACTACTCCTTACTTGGAGTGACACAGGCAGTTATCCTGTGTCACTCCAAGACACAGGATAGAGAGTAAGGGATTTTGAAATTGCCTGGATTGAAAAGAGTCTCAGCACTTTGAACAAGCGCTAGAAACAGATGAGTATTAAATGTTTCATGGGAATAAACAACAAAAAATAATCAGGTTCAAAAACATACTTTTCACTTGTTTTGACAAAGTAATGAAATCTCATCCTTTTAATGTAATCCAGGAGGTGAATTAGGGATATAAACTTTAAAAATCATGTTACCTCAAAAGTCAGAAGTTTTGGGGGGTTTTTAAGTTAAGCAAAATGGAGTTTTGGCATATGAATTAAAAAGTGTGGTACATGTGGTGCTGCTTTTTATAAAAGCACATGGTATGAAGATTAACCAGTGTTAATTATCACATCTTTTAATGTGATGCCATAGACAGGCATGGCATTCTAATTCCTGTATTTGTTCAAACATGCACCAGCCCTCAGGGGCCAACAACTTGCATTGGGCAGATACTACAAATGAGCTATGAAGGTGTGCCCAGACAGTAGAGCAAAAGGCTCTGAAAAAGGGGACAAATCTTGGAATTTAGAAGTCCATTATTCCATAGAAGTAATTATTTGGAGCTGTACTTTGAATACTAACTTCCCATGCCCTGGGATAATTCTACAGCAAGCAGTAAGAGGAAAAAGGCTTGAAAACAGGAACCCCACTTTGGAAATTGAATTTAATACTGCAAAATGTCATTGATCTTGTACAGGGCCTAGTTTTCTTTTTTTAAGTGTTGATAATTGACAGACTGGATAATTTTAACAACAACATAGAATCCATGAAAATACATGTCTGCGTCACCTAGAATCTTTCACAGGTATCAAATTTAAAAACACACATTGCTGAATATGTGCTGACATTTTATTCATCAAGAATTACAAACATAAGAACTCAATTCTCTTTTAAGCAATTTCTTTTGTGCTCAGTATTGACTAATAGCATCTGCCTCTAAGATGAAAGGCCTTAGTCTCCCATTTGTGTTACTTACAAGAACTAAATTCTCTGACAAGAGAAGGATTTTAAATTATTACATAATGTGAAAGGGAAGTGGCTGATGCCTGGCAAAGCAGGCAGGTCCCAGCACATGACAAATAATTTTGCCTGCACGCACCCTCTTCATAATGCTGTATAATCCTTCAGCTTTTCAAGTTAAACACTCTCATGATCTTACTGTTCAAACAGTTTTTCTTCAGTGTGGCCTCTACCCTGATTACAGCAGATACTTCTTTTATTTCTTAACTGATAGTTCTTAGCACACATGCAAAAAAATTTCAGGCCTTAACACCTTCTTTGCATGCAAGCATCAATAGAATGTTGCCAAGAATTATGGCATTAGATTAAAGCAATGAAAAGACACTATTGCTCTGGCTAAAACAAACTTGCTCTTAAAAATATGTCTACTTATTTCTGGTCTGTATAGACTACAGTAAATAAATTATTTTCTTTGAGAAAAGACAACAAACTTGCTTTCATTACAAAGTATTTGTGCTATAGAATAAAAAAAAAATTAATATGTATATCACTGATAACACCACAATGCAGTTTAAATTATTTATTCCTAAATAGTATATATTTGGGATTTTGTTTTTATGCTGCACACTTTGCATATTTGAAATATGGGACTCTATAAAAACGAATTCTAGAAAATACAAAATGCATCCCATTTGTGATGCCTCCAGCTTTCCCAAGAATTTGTAGTATCCCTAGCCTCAATTAACAGATATACCTAGACAAAGGCATTCAGACTACAATGAAAACATCCACTGAGTATAAAAATATGTATGCTACATAAAGTTTTTGCTGTCTTCATTTAGGTTAGCCTTTCTTTTCTAGCATAACTAGCATATGAAAAATTTTATACCATTGTAATACATTGTTTCTACATACTCCCTTTTATCAAAGAAAAATATTTCCAATTTTTAGTAACAATTTTTGAAATAGTTTACAAATTTAAGTAGAATAATTTTCTATGTCTGTATATAAATAAGTTCTTAACTTGAAGACTGCTCACATGATGTATAAATAACAAACTGTAAAAGGACTTCTTTTAAATGCAAAAATGAAAACAATAAAATAATCCATCACTTGATCTTTGTTGCAAAATCAAGACCTTATTGGTAAATTATCATAGGCAATAAAGATGGGTATCAAGTTTAGTCCCTGTCAAGACATCAATGCTGCTATAATAATCAGGCTGCATCTTACATATTTTTGCTTCTTTCCTTTCCTGTCAGGAAACCCTCACATATTTGTCTGCTAAAAAGTGAATGTTCTCCTTCCATTTTCTGTTTCCAGTCTGAATGTGGATTATGCACTGCAGCAAGTGTGAGATTTGCTAAGACAGAAACCATACCCGAAAGCAATAAAGTCTGTGGGTTGATATCGCAGGTAAGTCAGGCTGACTTTATCTCACTTATCTCCTCACCACGCTGCCTCCCTGCCTCCCGTGACCACTTTGCCATTACCTCACTGAAGTTATTTAGCCTGTGACCAGGTGATCCACAGACTCAAAAGAAAGGCAGTAAGGGGACACCTTAATGGGAAAAAATGCCACACCTTGTGGCAACAGCCTATAGCTATCAAAGAATCACTAGGGACCAAACTGACACCAGCAGAACACCCAGACTTCATTCCTTCTCCCAAAACACTGCCCTGACAAAAAATACACCTCAGACACTTCAATCCCAGCATTGGCTCTTTGAGCTTAGTTTGATCCTTCAGTGTTTCTCAGGTGCCTGAGCCTTGTGCAGAGCAACACACAATTACAGGGTTTAAATCAATCCCTCCAGAAAAGGACAAATAACAAAACTGGCACACAATGCACAGGAGCAATCAGAGCTTTAAGTCCTTATCATTAAGCCTCATACTCTTTTCCTTTTCAGCCTTTCTTGTCCCCATGATAAAGCAAAAAAGGGGAGGATGAAAATTATAGGGCAGCCTGTAGGGTCTTCTGTAAAGAAGACATAAAGAAAAAAAAAATATTATAGAAGATATACCAGCATTAAGTGATTTCCAATGTACTAAAATGACCCTGCCAGTCACAAGAAGACTGCTACTGCCAGGAGTGTAATGTTGTTCTGGAAGGAAAGTTGTGATCCACACATGCAGCTTTTGTTGTACCATATTTCATGTTATTTATTACTGTCAAACCCAATTAAGGAAAAAGTCCAAGAAGAGTAAATATCCTGCTTTATTGTCTGAACTAAAAGACAGTGCCTCATGCTCTCCCCTCTCCACAGGACCAATTCCAAACAGGCTGGTTAAAGAATAACCTCTACGGTTAACGGACTGAGGCACATTTTCAAGGTATCAGATAATGAAGTTACTTTTTAATTCCCTGTTGCACACTGAAGCTTTAAGAAACACAAGTTCTAAGAAGAGCAAGACTGAACATGTCTTCTATTTGTTTGCAGGTCAGCAAGAGCAGCAATGAGGGCTGAACTCCCAAGTTCTTTCACTTAATGCCTAAGTGCTCTTTACCTTTTTTCCTGGATAAACCACATCTAAGGATTAAAATAACTGAATAAATTGATTCTACTGAAAAGTCATCAGATCAGGTTATATAATGTCACTACTTGAAAATGCTAAGTACCAAATAAATTCAAACATTATATTGCTGAGCTGTTAATTATGATCTGCAAGCTTTTTCTTAAAACAACTCAGTACCATAAAAACAGGTAGTTATATGTGAGAAACTCAGTTGTAACAGTAGATGTCTCAACACAAATATCTGACAGTTGTACAAGGCAGACTAGTAAAGCCTACTATAGAAACAGAATTTACAAGTATATGGATAATATAATATAAAGACTACAAATACTTCCTAAGAACAAGTCAGGGACATTGTTTACAGTTCTTTAAAGTAGACAATGATGGCGTAAGATTATATATTAATGTTAATATATAATTATATATTAATGTGGATTAGAAAAATAATTTTAACAGGACTCACAATGAGGGTCTCTTCCAGCTTACATTATAAAAGAGGAAAATTTTCCCCCCTGCCTACAATAAATAAACCACAGAAGGATGGGACATAAAAGGTTGGAACAAGAGTATTTTTTTGAAATAGAAGACAGTGTCCAGAAGGGTCACTCAAAGGAATCTGTGCTTGGCCCTTCCTTGTTCAAAAATTTAATAAGCATTATTAAAATATTAAGAGTGGATTAAGTCTTGAAGAAGGTGAAAAAGCAACTCTATAATAAGAACACTACTTGCAAATGACTGAAGGAAGATTTCATGAACAACAGAATTCAAAATCAGAGAATAACTCTGGCTCGAAGGATCTTTGGAGGCCATTTGGTCACATCCTCCTGAAAGATTTAAAGTGACATATGGATTGAATACTCATACACAATGATGAAGTGAGAAACAGGTATCACCATAGAGACAACAGATCTCAGAATAATTACTACGTATTTTTTACAATCGGTTCTTCAATATCATAATCTGATTCTGCTCTGTACCAACACTAAGAAATTTCTTGTGACAGACACAGAACTAGTAAGACTGACTCTTGGACCTAGAAGCACACAAACAAACAGGGTGGTCAGACATACAGAAGAGCTTCTGTATCAGCAAAATCAAGCAGATAAAACTGCTTCAGGTTAGAGGACACATGAGTGAAAGGGCTGTGACAGATAACTCATGAGTGACATAATAGTGACCAGGAAAAAAAAAGGACTCGTTATTTACTTATTTATTAATATTTTTCTTGATCCATAAACATACAGGTGTCAAAATAATAGGTAGCAACTTAAAAGCAAACAAAAATATGTGTTTTATTCACACAACTAATTATGAGAGTGACAGTTAAAGGATGTTGTGAAGATAATAGACTAGTTTAAAAATTATTAATGAAAATACATGGAAGGAAAATTAAGAGCTAAGAAACAAACACACAAGGTAAGGCAGGAAGCACCACAGCACCTTAGCCCAAATTCTATCCTTCAACATCCATTTAATTGGCTGCTGTTGGAGGGATCCTGAGCTAGCTTGGCCTGCAGCCTAGCTCAGCCTCACTGTTCCCTTCTCTGGCAATCTCAAAGTGGTGAGCAGATTAAAAACACTCCTGAAAAGCAGCATCAGTTTCTCAGGCTCTTGCCTCTGGCCTCTTCTACCAAGCTTTAAAACCTTCCTCAGGCAAAAGGCAGAGGGAGTTCTGGGAGCTTCTCTTGTGTGAATTTTCAGCAGTCTTTTTTCTCCCATGGGATGGCTGCTTTCAATTTTACAATGTTTCCCAAATTCTTTGTGTGAGAATTACTTTGAAGTAGTGATCAAATACTGATTTAGTTAAATGAGTGAGCCACAAAAAAAGAAACCATATGCTTTAGAGTACTGTTAAAATTCTGTTACTTTTGACTATTTTTAATCATTCATTGCCTTATTATCTTTGTTTTGCCTTCTGAGAATTACAGCACCCTGAAGATTAAAATCAGATATGAAAATAGATGGGTAAATGCAATATTCCTCTTGAAGATAAATGAGATTTGTAAGTCCCAAAAAACTTTACCAAATACCAAGCCACTTGCCAAGGTAAGTAAAGGCAAATTTGGGCCATATAGCTGCTGGCACAGGTCTCTTTTCTTTTTTAAATAGTGCTGGCACTACTTTTGTGTATGTTTAAAATACAAAACAGTTAATTTTTTGTTTTATTGATCATACTTGTATGCCCATTTTGCCCATCTCTACTTGACCTTTTCCTTTTTTCTTCCTGACAACTTCCTTGCAGTTATCTCTAAACAGTGATGTTTTGCTTAAATAGTTGATGCTGAGTGTTTTTATGGAGAAAAAGAGAAAGATACTGAAGGATTTTTAGTCCACCTCAGCTTAAAAATTATGTTAGTGTATGGCTAGGAATGTATTGAACACCATTATTTCTCTAAGAGAAAAATAAAACGTTCATTCCTTAAGATATAGAGACAGTCCCAAAAACACATCCAATAAGACAAAAGAGTTTAAATAACTCAACTAAAAACTAATCTTGCAATCCAACAGAGAAGGATGAAAGAGTTTGACAAAATAAATACATTTCACCCTTTGGCATCTGGGTCTTCTGATGTTTAATTAAAAGAAAAGGCTAAAGGCTATGTTCTTCTCTGAATGTTAGCTCACTGCTGAGATGCCAAGGGGACAGGCACCTTTCAAACACCTCTCCCTAACAGGAATGTAAAAATAAGTTTAATTTAAAATAAAACAAGCCAAATAAAAATCATTAAACTGCATTTGAAATGCTTCATTGGAAGACAAAACTCTGCTTCACCTTCCAGAAACACATTAGTGGAAAATTTCTTGCTGCAAAACATTAGACATGTCTTTTCTTGTAACACAACAAAGACGAATTCATTATTTTGTGAAGCACTGTAGAGAAAAGGAAAAAAAAAGACTGAGATCTTGAATGCAATACATGTTTTTAATAAATATGTGAGATAAATTAATTTGATCTCACAAACTAGGCTACACAATTCAGTGTATCTCTGAATTCACAGCCATTGAGGCCCAGGTGAGAGAACCTGTCCCATGACATAGGACCACAAAGAAATTCACTGACTCTGGTCTCAAACACCAACCCCCATCCCAGCCATTGATGTAAAACATGCTCAAGCATGTCTATCAATACCAAGAGATTGTCAGGTTTGAGCTGCAGTCAAAGTCCCTCAGAGAAGTTCTTACTCTGTGCTCAGTAAGCAGCAGCACATCTCTCCTGCCAAGCAGCGTTCTCCTTGCATCAAGTGTGCTCTGAGCTGCCCTGTTAAACCCGTTCTGACCTGCAATTCCTCTGCTCCACAAAGATTCCTAGAGACATGTATTGGATACATTAGAGGCACCTTGAACAAAGTGCTTAGATGCTATGTAGAAAAGGAAGAAGTATCCATAGCTGAATAAAACCCAGGCAAAAGTTAAACGTGTCACATATATGTAAAATCAAACCTCATTTTTGGTTCTATAGCTTGCCTAAAACATTAGCATGCAGAGAAGTCCTAAGTTACTCAGTAAATCTAATGCTCCACAAACATTATAAAAGACATCAAACTTTGTCCAACAACTACCTCTTCACTAGAGAAAGTTTCATGAAACATTTCTCTTTGCTCCAGTATTCCTCCTAGCTTTCCTCAATTTAATTTACAGTTGCCCTCATTTTGTCCAGCCATTAAAAAACATCATGTTCCATGCTAACAGTATCTAAAGCTGGAGAATGCTCCATATATATTCTAGTTCTTTAGGGATTGCTATTCATGTCTACACTTTATTTACAGGAAATATAATTAAATAAGAGTATTAAATATTTATGAAAAATACCTCTCAATGTATTTCTTGATTCTATACACGGGGATTCCTTTACCAAAGCAAAAAGATGCTACTTGGTCTAATTTCATCCTGATGAAGACAAATCCTAATAAGGAGATACTATCAATGACATCAGTCAATTCCTCATGAAATACAGGGGCCTTATTTAATGCTCTTTTTCTTTTTTTTTTTTTTTTGGTAGACCTTTTTCTGTGGCTTAAAAGCAAGATAAATTCTTGTTCTCAACACCGATACTGATGGCCAGTAGTTAATACTGGGCCACCAAAACCACAGGTAGCTGCTGCCACTGTTGAAGTGGAGAAATAAATTCCTGAATGCCTGTTTTCAGCACTGGGCTTCACACTGCAGAAGGTTATCTTTTCTCATCCATGAAATTGGGTATTCTCTATGCTGGGCTGAATGAGAAAGACAACAGTCAATCAGGACTGCTGAGGATGCGCCTGGATAGCTCAATGAAACAAGAAAATGAAAGACACGCTTCAAATCCTTAGTTAAAGGGTAGCTTTATCTACAACAACTGCATACTTGGCAAAGAATTATCTGCTGGTTGGGATATCCCAGCATTTGAGTTTGAGCCAGATTTTGCTTTTGGCTGGACATACACTTAGAGTGGCACTGAAATGGAAATCAGAGTTAGACTTGCATATCATAGAGCACACCAAGTAAGAATTTGTGGAAATTTCTCACAGTCTAGCAAGCTTCATTCTTAACTGAAGAGAAAATTTGAACTACCAATATGACACTACTCCTAATTTTTACTCCAAAGACAGGATGCAAACACTACTACACTACACAAACCCCTGAATATTATTTCACTGCTTACTAATCACACATATATAACAATGACACAACCTAGTTAAAAGATTCCAAAATCCAACTTCAACAAAATATGAAACACAAAGTAGCTTATTTCCCACTTTAGCTAATGCAATAAACATATCTCCAGTATTGTACTTTTCCCTACACAGATTGCTGTTGTTCTTTGTTGAATGCATATACTTCAGCCCATAAACCCCCTGACTCTCTTCAGATCCCAAGGGGTGTTTAATCATCTGTGTAAAACCAATATTAGAGGATTCACAAAGCAAGTATGGACCAGACACTAATCAAAAATATGAAAATCTCTTTTTAAAATTATTATTTGAACTTTAAACTCCTGGGTTGAAAAATACATTTTCTCAAGCTATTGCACTGTATACATAACTTCCTAGTATTGTTTCCCTCCATGCCAAAAATGTTTGGGATATTTTACTACATTTTACTTTCTGTGATGGGAAAAATATTGGTTCTGGCCCTTGGTTTAGAATTGAGATTTTCTAATCTTTAATCCTTGCTTATAAAGAAATCAGCTATTTAAGAAGTCAGAACATGCTCAGCAGTGATCTTTCACAGATCAGATTTTGAGTTTAATCTACAATGAATTTTGACTATAAGCTTCAAGTATTCTATTTTCACCAAGTTTATCCTTCTGATATGAAATATACTTTCACACTTCTAGAGATTAAAATTCCAATGTTTATATTAGCAGAAGTGTTTAGGGTAAAACCATTTTCAAAAACACTAAGCCGTGAATCTATCACATTTAGACTCTTTATAACTAAAAAAAAAAAGACAAACATACACTATACTATTTCAATAGCTGAGAAAGACAGTAATTTTTACTCATGTTAAAATAAATACAAAATTATTTCCATTAAAAACATCGGTCAGACTGTATCATCCTTCTCAAGAATTCACACAATAGGAATTTGTGCTTATGAATATACATATGAATGCTTCATTTGTCATTTAAGCCAATGGTGCATTTTCCATACTTAAACATATTCCCTACATGAGAATGAAATGTCATATAATTATCATTTCACATGCCCATTCTATACAAAAACTGACATCAGTCTGATCACTTCTCAAATGTATTTAAGCAGAATCATATTGTTCTACAGTCACATGCAAGCTGTAGACCAAATTTTCCCTGGATTTATAGCTGCAGGTGTATTCACCGTTTCATTTCGTTGATGGCTTTTATTAACTTCTGCTTAATTATAAGAAAGGTGACTTAAAACCTGTCCCACTAAAGCTTAATAGATGAAGTAATTGAGGAGGCTCTCTGTAACTGGATTGCAGGCTGAAGGCCTAGTGCACATCATAAAGACAAAGCCATATTTTGTAGGATTTCCAGTCTTCTCATCTGTACAGTTTCTGCACACTGTTCTTTTTGTACACATTTTTCTCACTACTGTTCTCATTTTATGGGAATTTCTCTGCCTCATCAGCCATTAATCATTTTTTCTTCTACCCTTCTTTCTTATCCAGCACAAAGCAAACCTCAAGGAGGAAACTGTCACTGTCAAAACTTTTAACCCAGCTTCAAAAAAACAGAAATGAAAAAGCCATAAACTAACTTATTGCCTTTAGGGTACTTCAGCTAAATAGGTTCCTTCATCAATGAGCTTTACCAGCAGGAAACAAGATATTTCAACCCAGTAGCCTCCCATTGTTTTGTTTAGACCATCCTTCAACTTGCACTACTTCTCATCAAATTTCAATTATTTTTCATTCTGGGCTAAGCTATTTCAGCAAAAGTTGAATTTGACTTTAAGCATAAAAAGAGAAGCCCCAATGCATTAACTTGACCATGACATTCATTATTCTTTACCAAAATAGCCAAGACACACATAACAGAACAATACTGACAAGTTACAATCCAAAATATTTGCATTTACTGGTGATATCAAACTCCATCAATATTTAGTCACTGCAGGTGCTGGTTACACTTCACAGCAAGTGCCAGCTCCCTAACCCAGCACCCATGCTCCAGCACCATCACATCATGGGCTGCAGCAGCAGCTGACCAAACCTTCTCAAGACAAAGCAGTCTGGCAGTCAAACTTTTGACCACCTCCCTCAGCAAAAAGAGCATCCTGGTGCTCAGGCTCTTCAGAACTTTACATGGCAATGCTCTTGGAAAGCTCTGAGGCTCAATGCAGTAATGCAGGCCTGACATGACTGATCTCTTCCAAGCACTGCCCTCTGGATTTTAGGCATTGGCCATATGCAACTTTCAAAGACCTACTTAATTCAACTGTTTTTGGTGATTTCAATGGTACTTAGTCTTCAATAAAAACAACTATTAAACTATCCTTGTATATAAAGATCCTGCAAATATTTCCATCGTACTTCAACAGCAAGTAAAATCACCAGCACACTCAAAAGGTTCTCAAAGCTAAATTACTTGACTTTTTTGACTCTGCATGAGACAGCTGTTTTAAAAGATACTGAGCCTATGAGGACTATTCTGCAAGCACACAATTACACTTCACTGCAACATGCTCCAATGAATAGGAAGAATTTAGTCTTGTTAGCAAACACTTGGAAGAAATCATCTCCTTCTGCATTATTTAATTCCTACCCTTGATGTTTTCCCCTCTGACTGTATTAATTTTCAGAGTTACAGGGTGCTCATTTTTTTCTTTAATGGCTGCAGTCGTCACAATACACAGAACCATTTCTAGAATCATGAAGCAGGTTTATTTTGCTAGAGGGAACAAAGTGACGATACGTGTTCCAAAACATGTCAAAGGTACGTGAGTAAGAAAGGTGTGGTCTGCTTCAGCTAGTTACAACATTTAGACTTTCCAAGCCAAGACAGCTGCAATGCTAGTGGCACAACCAGCATTCCTACTTTTTGAAAAGTGCTTAGCTCTGCCAGGCTATAATGTGGTGTACAGAATTGCCATCCTGTTTAATGTTTAACTCCAACTATTCTCAGATGTCCACATCTAGAAATATTTAATAATCCACAGCTTACTTTTATTCCAAATAATATCTGCATAACAAATCTCCAGTAATTAAACTATACAAGAAACATAAAGGACAGAAATGTAATTACTGACACTAAAATGACACTAAAAATATCACAGTTACACTGAAAAACATTGAATATTTTATACAGACACATAATGGGTCTCCAGAGGAAATGTTCACCCACTTGAGTACACAAGCATTTAACTTTCTTAAGGGCTGCTGCTGCCATGATTCCACAGAAGTATCTACTATAAACTAACAGGAAAAATAAAATCACTTTGAAATTCAATATAAAACTGCAGTTGGTTTATGCCTTTCAGAAAAGCAACTCATACAGTTAAGCACTGAGCACCACTAGAGTTAAGAGCTAAGAGTACCCAGAACTTGAAGACTTAGAACCTGAACTTTATAAGCAACTGTCACTATTAATCCCTTTGTTATTTCATATAAAACTACAGAGTACAGTAGGGTGGGTCATATTAACTGAAAGCCCAGAAGCATTTTGTTGTTCAAATAGAACCAGAGCTCTACTTAAAGAAAAAACAAGGGGAAAAAAATTAAGAGTTCAACCAGCTGACCTTATCTTTGAAATCACAGACAAAGCAATCACTTTAGACCTTCATGACTTCAGCAGTCAAGTTCTCAGAATTGTGTGCATGGCAATAGCATTCACAATGCAGCTTAACAAAGCAAGTTAAAGCTTTCTTGCTCTTTTTATTTAATGCTTAAGTATGAAAAAGTCATGATACAAACCTGGGTCCACATGTCTAGAGCTTCTTCTAATTCCATTTGTTCGTTTCTGCAGCGCAAAAATAAAAATCAAGGATATGAATAAACAAGTTTTCATGGAGGTTCACTGCAATCCTTTCATTACCACAATCTACTAAGCAAAGCTTGTTTTCTTAAGTTATTTCCCCCAACCACCAACACAATTATCTTTATCTCATAGAAAGATCACACTTTGAAAATATTCTTAGTTATGTTGATGGCTTTTTCATATATCCCATTTTTTCTGACACTAGGCTGAAAAAATCTGAGTCCATAGAAGGTTTGTTCATACATCAACATTTTTGATACTGAGAACAAATTATTTTTTAATCATTTTTGAATAAGATGGGGGGAAAACATGCAGTCTGGCATTATCTACCCCAGGTAACATCCACCAACACAAAAGTCAAAGCCACTTGTATTACTTTAATACAGTAGAAACTTCCACTATTTTTACTTTAAACTGAAGCTAACTACAATTCCCTATGGAATGCTTAATTTCCTTATTTTCTGGGCAAATATTTAAATACATTTAGCAACTTGCCTGTCTCTGTAAAATTGGAGGAACCAGAGTTGTGTGAAATCAGAACCTCTCTGACAAGACTCAGATTATTTCCATTTATTTTCTATATTTTATACACTAAAACATTTACTATGGATCTCTGGAAATTTCAATGTGCAATAATGCATATCTGCAAACTACTCATCTGCTTTTGCAAACTTGTTTTATCTGCTAACTTGCATGATGATTCATGCATTTATTTATTTTTTAATCAAACCAAGTAGAGAAAGGCACGTTGCATAACAAAGGGAACAATTAGGTTGCTCTGATTTACTCGCCGTTGATATAAACTGATGCAGGACACACACCAAGGCAAGCCAGAAAGCAGTAACCTGAGGCATAACCCAATTACCAAGCCCTGCAGCAGGCAAGCAAAATCAAAAGCTTGGTTTGAAAACAGCTTTCAAACTCTTGAGTCCTTGGACATATTCTCTCCATACCCCACAAGTCTAATTAAACAAAGGATAGAAGTTTTGCTTCATCTGTAGTGGATAGAATAAAAATTTAAAACTGATGCCACAATGAAGATAATAGTACTGGATAAAGCAAAATGCTCAATTATACCCTATATTGTTTTTTAGAGATAGCAGCCATGTTACTGATACAGATTTATGCAGATTGGTGAGCAACCACAGATTTGCACAAGAAAGGGAAAGGGGCAGGACTCGGAAAAGTACAAAGGAAGACAGAGAAATGCTTAATTGAAATAAAAATAACAGAGGGACTGTGACAACTCAAGTCATATACACCAATGGACTGGCTGGAAAATAGTTTTTGAGCTGTATGAAAATGAGCTCAAGACCATTAAACATATTAAATTACCAGTAGATTCTTTATGGTGTAAAACCTAAATCCAGAATGACAGTTCTTTATCCATGCTTAAATTTTCTTCTGCACTGAGAGATTTAAAGCAGGCACTTAAATGTGAGTCTTGGTAAAAATTAATGTAATCCTGATGTTTTGGATCAACTCAATAGGCAACAGCAAATCAACAGCTCCAGAAAGGAGGCCTTAATTTTCCTAACAAGAAAAAACAGTATACCTATTTTTTCATCCAGACACAGTATGGTCACCACAGCTAGCTCTAGGAAGGCTGGCAACTTGTCCACTAAACCCAACAGATGATCTGTCACATGTCTCCAGCAAAGCCTCCCAGCTGCTGGAAAGGCATCAGGCAAATGGACCACACTGTGATTCTCCAAGTTTAAGAGTGTCCTTATCCAGCACATGTGTCAAGGCAGAGACATGACAGACTGGGCAGCAGCTGGCCAGAGGTGTGGCTGAGGATGCAGTGAGGAGAGCAAGCAGGGGCTGGGCACAGGCAGGGGCTGGGGCTGGGCACAGGCAGGGGCTGGGGCTGGGCACAGGCAGGGGCTGGGGCTGGGCACAGGCAGGGGCTGGGCACAGGCAGCACACCCCTCTCCTCTGCCAGAGCTCCTCTGTCACCACACAATTCCCCTGCAGGATCCCAGGAGCAGGAGCCCACCTGAGGCCCACATGCCAAGAGCTCAGCAGAGGGTGCAGAGTTGCCCTCACCCAGCCCCACTGCTGTCTGGGGTTACAGTGACACCCAAACAGCTCAAACATCAGAGAGCACAGCCATGGTGAGCCCTGCACACAGCTACCCCTGCACCAGCCATGTCAGCAATGACATCCTTCCATTACTCCTATCAGCAACAGCGTCAAACACAGCCATGCTTATGGAGAGAAGCAACATTTATACTCGCATGCTGCTCATAACTGGCATGTCATTTAAGCAATTACCATAAACTTCTGATCTAAAATACACACTGTTAACAGAGTGGCCCTGTGTGCAGCCTTCCAAGGCTGACAGCAAGCTACGCTATGTGCACGATAGCAGCTTCTGTGTTCAGGTCCCGTTCTAACATTATCTCCAGATTATATAAACTCCATACCACAGGATACCTCTGCAAACTTAGTCTTTTCACATGAAGAAGCAAACACCGCCCTGCTAATCTTTCATCACCCCATAGTTCTCTAGCATGGTAGAGAAAAAAAAAGAATACTTTTAACTCTACAGCCAGATTTTGTGTAGGAACAGTAAGGATCTAACCACCAGTTGTGAAGCAATGTATGTTTTCTTACCTGTAGCTTAAAAAAGCAGCTCCACCCCTTTCAGTGCTCTCAGCACTGTCATTTTGCTGCAAGTTTAATTCGCACTTGGAGCAGAAAATTTGTATTAAGTCACGAATATCTTGTTGCTTAGACAACTTTTACAGCACTCTAAATCTGTTTGCAGACCCAGAAGAAAAACATACCTTCTCCATCAGCATGCACACAGAGTAATAAGGAGCTCTTATGTCACCAACAAAACAAACATCACATGCAAAACAAAACAAATCCTTACCTCATGTTTCACGTTTCCGTGTTCTGAAACATAAGTAAAAATTGGCATTATTGTTGATTGCAAATTGTGCACCTTTTACAGAGCAATCTCAGCCTGTGCTGTGTGGTGTAACAGAAAACCCTGCTGCCTCCTTTTGCCACCTGATCCGTGCAGCCGCGCAGAGCCCGGGCGCGCCGGGCGCTGTTGTGCAAACGCCGCCGCGCTGCCGGCGCTCATTGGCCCCGCCAGGCTGCGCCCATGGCCGGGCTGGCTCCGGCTGCAGGGCACCTGCACGCTCCAGCAGCGGCACGGCAGGCCGGGACACCACACCTGACAAACCCTCAGAGCGCTGCAAAAATGCTGCACAAATACTGGCTCGCTGGGAACTCAAAGCTACACTTCATTGCAAGTCGAGTTCACACCTTTTTTTTCTCTGCCTTTTCACAGTGTGACAAGGTGTATCAAGGTTAAACATGTACCTTTAGCTTCAAAGTGTTCTATGTTTCATGTTCAATTCACCATTGCTTTAGTACACCAGAGACTGGCGGCAATGCTGGTTTATTTGCTTTTACTATAAATTTTACAGTACTACTTAAAAATTAGGGAAAAAAATCCTGTGGGACATTAGAAAGAGTGAATAAAGCCAGTAACACTTCAGCACATACACACCACCACACATCACAAAAGGCACAAAAGAACATATCTTTCCTACACGTCCTGTGAACATCTAATCTGATAGCAGGTATTTGGGTGCACTCTAGATTCTGTGTCAGTGCCTTACCAAAGCACACACAGCTGTATTTGCCTATGTCTGCCTCTGGCAGTACACACGCTGCTGAGGCCCAGCACAAGCTGCACATGCCTGGTCTCTGCGCACTTCAGCACACTGGAAAACTTTTACTGTGCTGACTTCTGAACAGGAGGGCATAGCCACAGTAAAACAATAACTTTTGTTCCACAGAGAAAGGCTCCATCAGGCAGCGGAGTGTGGGAAAGCAGAAGGCCTGGCGTGCCTGGGCGGGCGGGCACGGCCCCGCCGCGCTCACGTACGCCCGCGGTGCCGCGCAGCACAGCCACGAGAGCGCTTCTGCGCCTGCCACCTTTCCAGAGGAGGCGTTTGCATTTCCAGAGGGAGCAAAGAAGAAACATAAGCCCGCCCAAAGGAAGAGATGCAGGTAGTCTGTTGAGGTTTTCTAAGCAGCCTGAGGGAATCGGTTGCACTAGTGCTGCTGAAATTCAATAAAATTTTGGTCTTTTACAATCTGATTATGCCTTCAGAATTTTTGCCAAAATCTGAATAAAATCTCCTCTTTTGAATGTTTGATCTCAGAGCATTATGAATGACTTGAAATGAAGTTACATAGGTAACTAGTTGCAAAAGAGGCCAAAATTTCTAATCCAGACTTAGGGGTTTTCTTTCTTTTCTATATTCTAAAGACTTACATTCATTTCAGCAGGTCATTTATCAAAAGGTTGAAATGGAAATGTTGTTCTAGCCTCCAATGGGAATGAATGAATCTGATTTTCAAACATTGCTGTTGAGTATTATTTTTACCTCTAGAAAATATCCCAAATCCAACTCCATCAATGAGTTCCATCTGGTGATCACAGCATCCCAGAGGTTTTTATAATAAATAATTAGGAAATTCAGTTATTAACTTTCAATAACTGAATAAGTGGGCTCAATAAATCCCTACATAAGATAATAAATACTCCTGATCATTCATATAAACTAAATTTCATTAAAAGGGAAATTATGGATTTGGATTAAAAAAAAACACCAACACTGATGGACCAAAAGGCCATTTGTGGATTCACAGTTAACACTTCAGGAATAGAAAACAATATCCAGTATCTGTATTTCCACCTAAAAGCCTATTCAAAAAATTAAGACTTGTTATTTCATTACAGTTTAAATATGCCTGTAACTCAGGATATTCTGTATTGAAATATTTGTATCATGTCCTCATGAAAGACCTGTTTCCCAAGCATTACACAAGTACATGACCAAGAAAACCTTTATTTTTATTTTTAGATGGGAAAAACAAAAAAGTAGCACGTGAGGATATCTACCAGCAGATATTTTACACACAACAACTTGACTTCAAGTTTCTGCTCAGTACCAGAGTGCCAATGAAATTATCAAGCGAGTCCTCAGTTCTGACAGCCACTTAATTAATGCTATAGTTCAGCACAGTTTTGGGGTTTTTCTTGTTTATTCATTGAGGCCACATTACCACTGGGTCACATTTTGATAATTATATTTTAATACAGAAGCAAGAGGAGCAGCAGCTGGTGCCAGTAAGTGAGGGAACAGAGCTCAGAAAATGGGAGTAAGCTGCTCTTCAGGGATGCAACACAGCAGCTGGATCTACATGCTAACTAAATGGAGTGTAAATAAAATGTATATGAAAGAAACTACTCACCTTTCTATTTTAAAACAAAATATTTAAAATATTTAAAATGCAGGAACTATGAACTAAGTCCCTTGGAAGGAGCTGTGGGATTACATGCTCCTTTCCAGTCATTTAGCCAGTCATTACTCAATCAGAACAAAATTAGAAATGTGACCCAGATGTACCACACAGTAGGACCCTAAAAAAATATCAAGTGCCCTAACTGGCTTTTGTTCAGGTTGAGCAAGAATCGTTAGTTAAGCAATACAGCTCAACCTCTGTTGCAGTTTTTAAAAAAGTGGTATAACTCCAATGAACTTTGTGAGATTTGAGCATTTACTTGTCAATTCAGTTGACACTAGAGGTTTGGAGGGGAGCCAGCAATTTTGCAACTATTGATTAAGTCAGCAAAAACATAGTGAAAGCTGCTGGTTTCTTTTGAGATGTCAAGAGCACAGGCTTTTCATGAATAATCTCTAACGTGCTGTAGCAAGCAATCAGGACATGAACAGCATGAACTGTATCACTGGGCATGCACGTTACTGTATGAGAGCAAATCTAAACTTAACCCATTCATATGCCAACATTAATTTTAGTTCATCTCACAGTGGAAGAAACTTTTCCATTGAAAGAAATATAATACCTTTTCAAATGAAATTATCCAAATGAGAAAGAAATCATGCATAAATTAAGCAAGATTTACTATAAAAATGACCAGCTAATGTTTTTCGAATCTATTTATGACCTGATGAGACACGCCTTTAACATTCCCTGGGAAAAGCAATATAAAGAAGAAAATTCTGTGGGTTTGGCATTATATTTAAAATATTCAAAACACTTTCAGATTCTAGAATCATTGGAGGTTTCTCTAATTAAAATATTCAATAGTCAGTAGAACCAGCAAGTATTTGCCTGAGAATACTTAATTTAACATAATTTGATGGACTTGGAAAAATTCCAGTCAAAAAATAAAAATGAATTGTTAATTCTGCTGGTTTAGACTGGGAAATAGCCTGGATTTCTTCAGTATGTTCTGGGCAGAGTGATACTGTTCTATCAATCCTATGAGGCCTCTGAAGAAATTGCAAGGGACACAGAACAGACTGTACAATAGAAGTGGGAACAATAAGAGATACAGCTTCTCCCTTTGGCTACTAATGGTGTGTCTTACTCATTCTTGCTTACCCAAGGCCCCAGTCTTAAGCATCCCCAGACACAAACCTTTCCAGCCAGTGGGAGAGCATCACCAGATGAGTGAAATTGCTCTGTGCCATGAAATAAGACACAGGAATGCAGTTGAAAAGCCAGATGTAACAAGAGAGAGGAGCCAGCAGAGAAAAGAACACCGTGTATATCTTTATAAATGGCCGGTGACAGAAATATGTCCAGCCATTTTCTAATCCTTGTGTTTAAGGATTAGAAAATGCAGTCATATAGTCTGTTTAAGACTCAAAAGAGTTCATCAGAACATTAGCAATGATTCCAAATCACAGAAAAAATAATTGATAGGGCAGAAAAGTAAAATATATGAAAATGTAGAGGGCTATTTGAGGATGTACAGGGCAGCATTTTAGGGGGAAAAAAACCTGTTAAATCAATAATGAAAGAAACAAGCCCAAAAGACCTCAACCAGCACTGCTATTTAAAGCAGCAAGGGCAGGAACATCAACCAAGAAAACCCTAGGGCTAAATGCAAACATTTTGTTCTATTTATTAATTCAACTGATTAACTCTGCATCTTTTATCACTAAAATTTCTACAATCTGCTGAACTGGCCTTCTTTGAAGCAAAACATCTGAAGAACTGGCATATGTTTGTGTATACGGCATAGCATGAGAACACAGCAATTTATCTTCAGATTTTGTCACTGTTTCTCTCATAAGTGTATCATCTAAATCTGACACTTAATTTTATCATTCAAAAGGTTTCATCTCTTTGGATGTGTTCCTTTTGAATTTTCACAAAGTGCAACTTGGAATGAAATTTTAAAAGATTTAATCCACTCAGGAAAGTTCTAAGCATTATTTCAGAAAGGCTGGCAAGAACATCTGCTCATGGTCTATAAAGGAAACAGAATCTTAAACTTTACAAAACCAGAAAATGCTGAGGATAATTCACATGTCTTTGAGAAACCTAATGGCATATTCCACTGCAGTGCTTTGAACTCTGATCACCTTTTTTCACATACGCCTCTAGAACTACAAGAGGTCTACAGAATACGAATGAAAATTATTTGAAACATAGAAAAAATTACACTTATAAAAAGATAACTAAAATATTGAAACTGTTCCATTTAGAGAATATACTATTAAGGAGTCAAAATAATTTATCATAGAGAAGCAGTCAGTCAAGGCTTTTCACAAAAGCCCAAAGTCACAGAGAACTCACTGTTCTAACACTCTGAATTCAGTGGGACATTTCCAAAAAAGGAAATGAAAAAGCATTATCAAGATGCAAAACTCTTCAAACACCAAAAAAGAAAGAAAGTTTAACAGGATCAAGCAGGGAGCAACATTCCTGGACACTGTCTACCACACAGGAGATTTGCACTTTGCAAAGTCATGCATCTGGAATGGCACTGGCAGAATGACAGAACACCAGATTAAACAGAAAATACATATATCTACACATATATAGATATATATTCCATGTCTGTAGCTATAATTAATACCATGTGACCAGGGAATAGTAATGTCCAGTTTCCCAAAAGGATGATTCAGGTTCACGTACATTATATCTTGTGGAAAAAGGCTGTAATAGTCCCCTAGCAAAAAATGTGGGGAGAAAAAACCAAACCAACCCACCATGCAACAAGTGTTCCAGGCAATATGCTGCTGTACAAGCCTTTGCCCAGTTCCCACAGGAGCAGCAAATGGCACTGATAAAAAATATTATATTTATAATAAATTTATCTAAATATTTCCAAATAAAAGTATTGAAAATTAAACCCATGTTAGATTGTTGTGCCTACAAAACATACTTCTTTCACTAAGTGCAGTGAAGATGTTGAATTTTACATTATATCTTTATGCCTGCATGCCTTTAATAACATTTCATAGCTTAGAAGGCATGAAAAGAATTTCTGGGAGACCTCATTTCTCAGTATAGCTCTAGAACAGATAAAGGACAGCTCCAAAAAAAATAATTCAAGTTTCACTAATCAATATTTTAGAGTGTTTTGATTGTCTCATCCCTTTCAGGCCCACATGGGAAGCAGGCTCTTTTACAGCTTAAACCTTTCCTTGGACTCTGCACATTATGAATGGCCAGCACTGGTCAGTCAACGCTTCTTTCTTTAAAAAGGCAAATAAAGAGTAAAAGAGGAAAGCAGTAGAGAAAAAACTGAGAATTTTCTTTCCTCCTCATTGTCCAAAGTCCCTTTATAAGATGGAGGGATGACATTTTCAGCTAGGTAAGCAAAATCCCTTGTCCTTTCCATGCTCATTGTTGGATAAAGGGGAAGTCCTGCAAGAGCTGCAGTGTTGAGTTGTATTTTGCAGTCATGATCATAGAGCAGACTGTAAGGAAAGACACAGCTCAGCACCTCCTGTCCTTCTCCTCAGGAGCAGGTAGGAGATACACAACTCTCCTGTCTTGTATGAGGGCTACAGCAAACAGTCTTTGCATAGAAGAAAAAACAGACTGAGAAGAGAAAGTGAAGTTTGAGGAGAGGACAGAGGGCTGAACACCTGGATGTAACCAAAACACGTTACACAAGCAAGGATCTAAGCATCCAGTTGCTTGGAATTTCAGTACACTATAATTCTACAAACACCAGGAAGATGATTTAAAGTAAAATCCAAAACACGATTCTGCTCCTTTGAATTTTTTAAATTATAATTTATTCCACTTTAAAAGAAGGAGAATTGTGACTTGTTGCTACTGCTATTTTGTTCTCTCTAGAAGGCTACAGCATTTCTTAAGTATGCAGGAAAATTAAAAGAAATCAGACCTTTTGTTATCTAGGCATTTATGGTCATTCTTACTGATGCATGTTGCACCATATGTGTCCACAGATATTTACAGAGGAACAGAAAGATAAGCTCCTGCCTCCTGGGGTGCCAGCTATCCAATTAAAATAAAAACTACAGAAGTGATTAAAAGAAAAGAAGCAAGACAAAGAAAAAAAAATAGAAGTAGGAGTGGTTTGTACCACAGAAGACAGTTCTTTTGGAAAGAACGATATGTGTTTGTTTTTCCATTCTATTAATTTCAAGTAATTGCTTTAAAACATTAAATTTTTAAGATAATTTTTAATTTTTATTTTCCTTAGAATATCTGCAGGAGGTGCTGTGAAAAGTCTGTGCTCTAAAAAGGGTTTCAGTAACAAATACTGTGATTGCTTGTATGGTTTTTAGATCTACAAAAGATTATTTGTAAAGAGTTCAGACTTGAAGGATAGCATGGAAGATTTCCAACACAGAAAAGCAGCTGAGAAAAAAAAAGTTTACTGACTGCAGCAAAAGTCAGTGCCTTCCACCGTGTTGATTTCATGGGAGACTGGGACAGGTAATTAGCACAGAGAGTCAAAAGCCAAGTACAAATCAGAAGTAATGCACACAGGAGCAAAGACAGAAACCAGCTCATACAGTGTTGAAAGGAACAACAAGCCAGAGTCAAAATTTGGAAACAGCGGTTTAGTAAAGAGCAGTGCATGAAGTCATCACATAATTCAAAAGTGGCAGAGAGAATATCTCTGCAACAGCACTTTACAAAGATTGTAGATACTAATGTCAAAAAGAAAATAGCCCAAGGGAAGAGGTTGCAGTAGCTTATATGAAATATGTGAGACATGAGAAACTTCACAAATTATTATAAAATAATTCTGAAAAGGAATGCAAATATTTTAAAGATGTGAGAATGATACATGACTAGAAACTTCCCCAACATATAAAACTCCATTTTGCAGAAATCATTATGTGCTCCCAATGGCTTTTCTTTTTTAAACACAACAGCAAATCAAAATAATCTCTAGAAAAAAGAACCTTTGAGAAGCTGGACAGAGGAAAGAGTCAAAAATAGCACTAGGATTATATGACTGTGGCAATAGTATAACAAACTCACTACAGCCAAGGGAGTAGGAAATAGGGGGGGAAAAAGGGTGGCCAGTGATGGGGGCTAACACTGAGCAGTCTCAGTGGGAGATCCAGAAGATGTCAGGACGAGATTTACAGGTATAATACTGAACAGAATGGGAAGATGACAAATTCTGGAGTTATTTGTGGGAGGCCAAATGATAGTTGAAATCAAAAGATTTCTTAAGGTCCCAGAGAGCAGAAAAACAGGGAAAGTGCAAAGTGACAGTGGCCAGAGAAGAAATTCGCTGAGCAATTGATTAAAAGGGAAAAAAAAATAGTTCTTAGCTGTGGGAAGTGGGTAGCCATCAATCACCTTTTTGTGAATATTGTGAGTGGACAGAAACCATGGAAACCAAAGAGATGAAAGAGGAAGCTGAGGCAACATAAACAGCTTTAGGAACTGAGAGCAAAATACAAAAATTGACATAAAGGGAGAAGTACAAGGATGATAGATGATGTGCTGTACTGTAGGGGTTATATATAAGTAGTCCACAACTGAAACAAGAGGAATTCCTTGTTGTATGTGACATTGAAGAAGAAATTTGGTTTGACCTGTAACAGTTCTCTCCTGCTTTGGAACATTTCCATTTAGTAGCAATAAAAATCCCTATGAATCCTAAATGCAATTCTAATTGTGCTTATAAATGGTAGCTTCACAAGTACACATGTTACAATAAACACAAATTAGAGGTAAATTAAACCTTAATTATATCTAGCAAGTTTTATGTCCTAATTAAAAATGGTATTCTAACAATTAAAATGACTTACCACCTAAATTAGCTCTGCCACAATTGTCTAGTCTTCCTAAACATTCTTTGTGTGCTCCAGCTCCACACTTAGAACATAAATAGCCTTGATAAAATGTTCCCCTGGAAAATAAAATTAAGTAGTGATACATTAGAGGTGACAAATTCCACACATAAAGGACATAAGAAACATGGCAGAAGGTATTAGAAGTAATTTGTTGTTCTGCATAATGATAGTCCTTAAAGGCTTGAGAAAAAGTGACAACTGACAAACAAGCAGCTCATCTGCTTTCTGTCACTACAAGCCATTTAAAAATCACAACCAGTTTTTTTCGACTACTAGTAGAATAACAGCCTCCATTTCAATGTAATTCAAAGCTACTTCAGAACAGTACACTTGAAATTGTACCATAATGCATCTATCCTACTACAGTTCTACACTTCATCTCAGTGGGAATTTGCTTATGCAGCATGAAGAACAGGATCCAGTTCAAGAGAGTTGTAAGCTTGAATATATATTTAAGCATTGAGTAGTTTTTAGCTGTATGGCAAATATTCTTGACTTGAAATTAGTTCAGTTTTTTAAAAATATATATCATGGACACTTCAGGTAATATCTGGAGCTGCTACTTCCTCTAAATGTCTCTGTACCACAGGGTGGCACTTGGGAATACCCAGCTGGTGGCCCATGGAGAACCCAGGCAGCATCCTGGGGGCTGTGTCCTGCGTGCACAAATGCTCCTCAGCATCAGCACTTAGTACAGACCCAGTAACTCAACTACACTGCTCCAAAGTCAGAAATTATCCCTCCTGACTTTTAAGTTTAGAAGGTCTTCACCCCTGCTCATAGTCACTTAGACCATAATGGATTGAGGGGGAAAAACTCAAAAAAAAACCTCAAAAAAAACCTCAAAAAAACCCAAAAAACCAAAAAACCACTCAAAAAAACCCAAACAAACAAAAAAAACCACCTCTGAAGATACAGGTCAGTCTGACTAGTCAGGAAAAGTATTGCTAAAGGAAGAAAAAATGTATGGCAAGGAGGAACATAACTGAAGTTAATTTCAATTATTCCATGCCTATACTTAACAAAGGCACTACCCAACTACTCACACTCAAATACACTTGCTAAAATGCTGCGGCTTCATTTTTCAGAATATCAACAATGTGCAACATAGAATCATAGAAGGGTTTGGGTTGGAAGGGACCTTAAAGATTATCCAAACTCTCTGCCATGGACAGAGACACCTTTCACTAGACCGGGATAATGCTCAAAGCCCCATCCAGCCTGACCTTACAGGGGCAAGAAGAGGGGAGACCACCATCCAAAAAAAACCTTTACAATACCTCAGAAGCATCTGACAGACTTTGCAAGATGTCACCCGACTGAAGGTGTGCATTTTGAACTCATGAAAGCTTGTATCTGCATAGTCTGGCCGGATGTTCGACCTAAAAACAAAATTTGAAAATTTCCATTAAATGAAATCTAGAACATGAGGCAACATTCACAGCGGGAAATCTTAACCCACAAACAACTAGTTTTATTTAGACCTTAATGTTTTTCACTGACAACAACCAGAAGCATGAACTTTACCAAACACCTTGAAATTAAATCTGGATTATGGTATTATGCAGACTTCATAAATATACACTACAACTATCTTAGTTGTCATAATAAATAGAAAATTAAACATCTGGTTTTTATTCTTGTTTGAGTAACTAGGATCATTCTCAACAATATTTTAGTATGTCAATGCACAAGGAAAAGCAGCTCACAGCCTGAGAAGCACCATATTTGAAAACATATTAGTAGCAAATTTAGGACAGTTAGCTCATAACTATGCAGCAAAATACTGGATAACCTGAGTGCTTTCAAAACAATTAGAAAATATTCACCAGGATTTGGTAAGCCTTGTGTTGCACAGTGCCTACAGCTGTAGATGCACACAGTAAATTAAACAAAATAAAAGATCACTATTCACACTGCCAGATACTGACACAGTTATAATAAGCAGACTTATTTCCAAAGATCAGATTTATGTACAAAGCCCTGGTCCACTACTGTACTTATGTTTTGTTTACCTTCCCTACTGATCCCTTTTAAAAACAGGAGTATAATTTAAATGTAAACCATCCATCATTTGTTGCACCACTGACTGTTTTCAGATTGAAATTTTATTAAGTAATCTATTCAATTTTTTCTGTCATCTGCCCCATTTCTGAGACTGAATGGAAGAATAGGCATTTTCAATTAATTTCTTTTTTTCTTTTTTTTTAATTCAATAATATCCCCAAACTAGCTTAACACTGTCAAAATCAGTAATGCTGAAATGGTAGGTACATAATATTAATCTAGACTGTATCAAACAAGAAAAAAAAATATAGTAAGGGCTAATGAATTTTTTACTATTATTTATATTAGAATGTTTAGGACTCCATACATTTCTGGTATTTTTCTATCAAAAACATAGCAAGGTATGATGCATAAAAATGAAAATAGGAAAAAATAATGAGGGCAGGAATGCAAGAATCTACAATACTCAAAGGATAAACTAGAAGCCTTTTCCAACATAGAAAATTACATATTCTTCCATTAAAGTTGGAGATATTTATAATACATAAGAATGAAACTTATAAGTAACTTCCAGACTAAAACACAAACTGCAGTGAAACACAGATAACCATGCAAGCATCACTCCCTCTTGGATAGCATTAAAAGACTAACAAAAAAAATTCAAAGAATCTGTTTAAGTACCCAGTGTCAGAAAGGTCCATCTTCAAATCTGCCCGCTGAAAATGAAACTGTACTCAAAAAGCAAAAGGAATTTTGCTTCTATGCCTGAGAATAACCTTACAATCAGTACTGTTTTAACTACCTCACTTGTGTCTCTTTCTGCTCTAATATGCAAGATGGCAATTCCACAACTCCTGCTAACTGAAACAGGTGTGCATACTACCCATCCACAGCAGGAAGGTACTGTAGCAGGATAAAATTAATCTCATAAAGAACATTTTAAACCATGAGAAAAAGAATTATTATTTTTCGGCTCTTAACTAGGTACAGTCTATATTTCACTTGTCTGCTAGAAGGCTGCCAAAACTTCTTAGGCTACACTCCAAGCAATCCTGAAAAATCCCTAGAACAAGTTGCAGTACTTCACTCCCAAAAAAAGCTCATTTTTATTGACCATTTGGTTCAGAGCAGGACATTTTGCAGAACTGTGTTCAAAGTCTAAGCCAAAAGTGCAAGACTCATGAGATTGAAAGCATATCAAATTAAACCTAACAACCTGACCATTTTTCAAGAAGAAACCAAAGAAAAAAATACCATTCATTTATTAGAACAGAATCAATCTTCAAAAATAGTAAGTGAATCAAAAGAAAAAAAAACATTACAACTTTATATAGACAGGAGTTTAACACATGGATGTGACTACACGACTTTCTTCCATATGTAAAAATTCTCTTTCATTCTTCTCTCAGGCTATCTTCCACAAAGGTTGAAGTGTGTGAACTACTCAAAATATACCTCTCATTAACAGAACAAAGATGATACACTGTATTCATTCTCTGTTATAGTAAAAGGAGTATTTCAAAAGAACAGTGCAAAGTAAGAAATTGCATGCTTACTCTGGAGACAGAGTGCTGTAAAGTGAAGCACAGTATGGAAAGATAATTAGTGATACAACAAAACCCAGAAAAATAAAATCAACATGTGTTGTCTACTGCAAATGTAGAGGTAGAATAAGGAAAGCTCTGTAGAAGAACATTCACTGCAGTGCTACTGTGGGCAGGGAAACTCTTGCACATTCTGCTGCCAGATCAGTAATGCTGCATTATGGCAAATCCCATTCTGTAATCCCATCACACATCACATCAGACAAGGCCGAGATGATGCACTATAGCAGCATGTATAGAGCAGCAAGCCTTTCAATGCAAAGTCAGAAACTTAATGAATGTAAAGGTTTGATATTTTCTTTTTCAATATATTTCTTATTTCTTTTCCAAAATCAAGTAACAAAAAAATAACCAAATTTGATTAATATGTGAAAGTTTACAACTAGAGATTAAGCATAATTCATCTGTGGCTAAGTACAATTACAAGGACTATAGGAATCTTTTTCCCACAAAACCTTTCAAACTGAAAATTACATACCATGTTTTGAGTTTTCAAATACAGCAAATAAAGCTGATAATGCAAAATAGTCATGGCATAGCATGCAGCTTTTCAAAGCCATGTCCAACCATAAAGAAACTCTTGGTTATACCATGGAAGTCTTACACTGATACCCTCAGAAGAGAGATCAGAGCTCTCACAACACACTAAAGGGAGCATTTCATCCTTCTCATTTTTTTTCTCTTCTACTTCCCAACCAGCAGGCACATTGCAAGACAGAAAAAACCTGAGTATTTATGTCAATAATAATTTTGAGATTAATACTACTTCCTGCTTCAGAAGAAGGATTTCTTGTTGAAGACCAAAAAAAAAAAGAAAACTAGATGTAATTGATAGCAAAATTCAAATGTATTGAAGCAATTAACATTTCTTTTGGGTCATACAATGGATTCCTTCACTATCACAGTGGGACAGCCAAGCTCTCCTGCAGACTCCTCAGTTCCTCCTACCACAACCACTGCTATTATGAGGTGCCCCAGGCAGCAAAAAAATTTTTCTGTTTCTGCTGTCAAACAATCTTGATGAGTGGCCAGAGCAGGAAGTCACTCATACACCAGAAATACTTAATCTGAAGTAAATAGTGACACAGAATACATTCCTCGTTTGTAAAACACTTTTTTTTTTTTTCAAGCAATAGCAATGTGGGAAGGGAAAAGTAGTTTTCCTTTGTCTCTTTTACTTTCTCTCCAGGCAGTTTTAACTTCCCCACTCCAGCAGAGACAAAATGTCAATGTGAATCTGTTATTAGGACAATTTTTCCAATTCTCTCCTCAATTCAGCACCAGAGGTTTTATAAGGGACAACCACATGTGTCATCTCTTGCACGGTGCTGGAACCCCATAACCAAATTTACTCCAGTCACTACTGCAATGTCCTTGGGCTGCCCCTGAGCCTTCTGAGCAAAGATTTCTCTTTGCAATTTACTTCCAGAATATTAGTCCCACTGGGACCAATTCACTGCTACACCACCAAGCCAGAGACCTGCAGGTGCGTATCTCACGAGTCTCTGTCACTTGGACATGCAATTCTTGTCTCTGCACGAGCCACGGGAGCCACAGTTCCAGGGGCAGAATGACCATCTTCTTCAGTCAATCCTCCATCTCTGAGTAGTCCCTTTGTCTTTAAACTTTTGGAAGTTCAGTGTAGAAAAGTTACCCAGGTATCTTATTCAATTGTCCTTCATATCATCAGCCTTTGGAGCACTCCTTGTGCATATGAAATATTCCCCTCCTAAAAATATTCTCTCCACATTTGCAGTGCCATTTCTTTCTACTGACTTGTTCTTTTCAGAAGAGTAAATTGACCATAGGCCAATCTCATCCCACCCACATAATGCAACACCTTTATAAATGGTGTCAGGAAGTGTCACGTTATCAACCGGCCCCCACAAGCTTCTGAAGACAAAATCCATTCCAGTAATCATCATTTTCTAGATTAATGGCACAGCTGACCACAGAGTAATGATATAGATAGCCCAAAATTGTCTTGTCAGACAAGACATCTAGGTGCTTACTCCTATGCCTGTAGAATGAGGAATAAATTCTCTTGACTATCCTGCCTCAAAATACAAAAAAAAATAATTGTTCATATGAAAAAAATGAAACTGTTTAAATTACAATTTTCTCACACTAGCAGTTGGGATAACACATCAAAGACTCAAAAGTCACGCTTAAACCTCAAAACATAAACATCTCACAATCAAAAGACAAATACTTAAGTCAAAAAAAAAAAAAAAAAAAAAAACACCTTGGCAATCTTGACATATCCAATTCTGTAAGTCCTATGCCCCATTTTACAAATCTGAACTTTGATCTAAAGTGTTGCCAAGGTGTATATGCAATGAACTGTACATCATTAGTATCGAGCAACTTAAATAAGATTTCTGACTGTAATTTCCTTACTTAATCAAAACCATATTCTCATGAGAAGACATTTAAATCAGAATGTGTCTGAAGAGCAGTAGAATACCACAGGCATTTGGCTCTTTTATAGCAACAACTTAGGGCTTTATCAGCATTCTTACATTCATGTTTTTTCATGAAAGCTATACAGAGTACCTTCCACAATAGGTTGGAATAAACAAATAAATTACATCATCTTCAGGGGGATAGGCACAAATATACTTTCTTTTACTGTCAGTTACACTTCCTCTACAAAGGTAGGGCTTACAAAATAAAATGCACCAGGAAAACAACTGAACATTCAGCCACAAAACTCAATCTTTTCTACAAAATATGTAAATACTACAGATGTTTCCCAATATAATAAATAA